CTGAGGGTGTTGATAAGACAAATGCGAGGTCGAAACTGCAGTCCACTTCAGCTGGGATAAGAACAACTTTCGGGAAAGCAAGGCTATGTGAAATTCAATGACCAATGCGAGGTCGAAACTGCAGTCCACCCAGGATGAGAACAACTTTTGGGAAAGTAAAGCTATGTGAAAATTCAATGGTACTGCAGTCCACTCAAGCCGGGATGAGAACAACTTTTGGGAAAGCAAGGCTATGTGAAATTCAATGGAGACCTGCAGTCCACTGGTGCCTGAATGAGAACAACTTTTGGGAAAGCAAGGCTATGTGAAATTCAATGGAAGGAAACTGCAGTCCACCCAGGATTAGAACAACTTTTGGGAAAGCAAGGCTATGTGAAATTCAATGGAAAACGCGCAGTCCACCCAGGATGAGAACAACTTTTGGGAAAGCAAGGCTATGTGAAATTCAATGGAAAAGTCAGCACCCAAAAGGTGTTCTCATCCAGGGTGTTGGGAAAGCAAGGCAATTTGAAATTGAATGGAAACGTCAGCTCTAATTCATATCATTGTGGGAAAATTCTACTACCAGTCCTTCATCACCTTACACGAAATAGGGTGAATACATCTCATCACACTGATAAGGATTAGAACAACTTTTGGGAAAGAAAGGCTATGTGAGATTCAATGGAAAAGTCAGCTAAACTCATATCATTATGTTTTTGGGAAAGCAAGGCTATGTGAAATTCAATGGAAACGTCAGCTCAACTCATATCATTGTGGGAAAATCTTTGGGAAAGCAAGGCTATGTGAAATTCAATGGAAAAGTCAGCTAAACTCATATCTGCTATATCATATTCTTTTTGTGAAATTCAATGGAAACGTCAGCTCAACTCATATGATTGTGGGAAAATTCGTTGGGAAAGCAATACTATATGAAATTCAATGGAAACGTCAGCTCAACTCATATCATTGTGGGAAAATTCTACTTGCAAGGCTATGTGAAATTCAATGGAAAAAGTCAGCTTAACTCATATCATTGTGGGAAAATTCTACTACCATTCCCTTCATCACCTTACACGAAATAGGGTGAATACATCTCATTACACTGATTTACTGGTAGTCTCGAAACCCTACTTACTTACTAATACATTTTTTTTCTATTTTTATGAGTAGATCTCGAGACTACCAGTAGGTCTTGAATAAGGATTGCATGAAGGTGGTCGCGAAATCAAACGAAAAAACGAAAATTTCTTAATAAAAACTCACTTTTCATGGGCATCTAATAATTATGTGAGCACTGATGGTGCAGTTTTTCTCTCAGCTCTATGAGTAGGCTTCACGAAGGCCAAAGTTATGAATAGAGATTAAGAGTTCAGAGAAGTAGGCCGAAACTTGTTGTGGCTGTTGGACGATTTTCGTAAAATATGCCTTCCTGTTCTGACGATGTCTGTTTGGTCGATACGGGCTGAAGCTCAGAACGGTGTCAATATGGTCAGTTGACAGTGCACTAACCTACAGTCGCCACTTTAAGGCGTCCGAGAAGGCTTGTTTGCGAATCCGTTCCACTCGACGAACTCCACGAGCTGAAGAGGCACTAACCTCAATTCAGTAAGGGAGTCTTCGAAGCCCAGCCTCTTTTCTTTTCTCTTGATTGCATTTACTTGCCATTTACAATCCATCTCGTGGCAAATAGGAAGCTGTAGATAGTGGTGCTGTAGTAAGTGCTAATACATTCCGATTCTCGTTAGTAAATCAAGGTCAGAGTGGCCCTGTTATGTTTCAACTTCAGAAATGAGGTATGAAGATCAAGATGGTGTGGCCTTTTGTGTGGTCGCAGTCTCCTTTCGTTGTATAGTGGTTGTTTGACCTTGTTTTCGCAACATGGTCGTATTGGTAGGAAGACTTAGAGGAACGTAGCTAGTACGGTGTCCATTGTCTGCATGATCATTTTCAAAGTTGAACCGTGGACGTGGTACATTCCCAGACGTTTCGCCGGCATCGTAGTCGGCATCGTCAGTGAGTATCACCATCCTAAGTAGCACACAATAACTCGCCAAAGAGACGTTTGGGAATGTACCACGTCCACGGTTTAACTTTGGAAATGATCATGTAGACAATGGACCCCGGACTAGGTGCGTTCCTCTAAGTCCTCCTACCAATATGACCATGTTGCGAAAACAAGGTCAAACAACCTCTATTCAGAAATGAGGGTTCAGTTAAAATGCTACCAGATGAATGGTCGTCCGTATTGGTCGAGAAGACGAAGAAAAAGAATGCCAAAAGAGTGGTTTGTATGCAATTGGGCGAGCTAAAAATCAGGCGCCGCGAGGAGCCGACGTGTAGCTAAAGGATGTTAGGAAAACAACATCAGAGGAAGGAGAGAGTGAGAAAGAGGCGGCAC